AATGCAAAGTTCAGGAAATAAATTCCACTCTTCCCTAGATGGGAAGCTAGAGGCAATGGCTTGTGCAAGTGTTGTTTGTGTCGTGTCTGCTTTCCGAGGGTGACTGGAAGAGGTGATGTTTCTTGAAAGTTGTTCCACTAGGTCACTTAAAGTAAAACTTCTGCAAGGGAGTGCCAGTCCAACTTCTTTGTGATCTCTGGGGATCCCAGAGAGAGACTGGGACTCTCTGAATCACTTTTTCTGCGTACGTTAGCACACTTCAGCCTTGTGCATGAAAGGGAGAGACCGAATTGCATCAATAATAGGAGCTCTTGGGAACAAGACACCAGGATAAGGGGGTCTGTGATATGGGTAAGACATGAAAATAATTCTTCATCTGCCTGATTAACTAACGAGAAGATGGATTTTTATTTACCAAAACAAACAGGTTACTCACTGGGTACACAAAGATTCTGAGCATAAAAAAGAACAGATGGGGCAAATACTGAGATCAGCTGTTGCTGGAACACAAAGAGATCTAAACAATTTTTTTTTTTTAAAAAAAATAAAGCGTGAATGAAAGGAATATGATTTATTTGCTGTGGAATAATTTCAAGATTTCCTGGAATGGATTGAGGAATGTCTAGCTACAGAAAAACTCTTTCCTTGTCTGTAGTACAGCTGTGTCTGTGAGACTGATAAGCTACGGTCTGCTCCTTTCCACACCTTTCCTCTGAGCAAAATACTTGCTCAGCTTGGTGTTCTTCAGGGAGGACTTGATTGTCCTCCGAGGCTCTTCCAGAGACAGAAATCTTGAGTCACGCAGGTTGGTGTCACACCATCGCTGCGGCTACTCCCCCTGCTATTTAACAACCAAGAGGACCTTGGCAGCTGCCTCACAGCTGAAGATTTATTGAGTACGTTTTTAAACTGCTGCCTTCTGAAACCTCAGTCTTTCTGGAGTTTTGCCCTTTCATCTTGAAAGTTAATGTCAGAATTTGTATTCCTTGTGTTCTGTTAATATCCGATTTGCATGGCTGCCTAACGCACAGGGGATTAAGGTGCTTCTTGCTGAAGGTTCTGGAACGCTTCCTGTGCGTAGGTAACTTCATTCCATATGAATGGAAGTGGGATAGGAAGCATCTGTCTTGCTAAGCTGGTCAACACATGAATATGCTTCAGGATTTGTTTTCTACCCTTGGGTGGAATCTGTGCAGTACACTGATTTTCCGTTTGCCTTAGTTAACTCTCTAAGCCCTGGTTCGAACTGGGAGTAGGTGTAGTTTGGTGGCTCTAACACCAGAGATGGAAAGTGGAGAAATTGCTTCTGGTCCAATTCCAGCGGTGTTCCAGCTGTCCTTTGACCCTGCCTGGGCTGCGGAAGGCTTCCCGGCGCCGGTGCGGGGCTTTGGGTCAGGGCAGCCGGTTAGTCGCCGGGCGCTTTACGTGCCTGAGATACCAGTTCTGTATTTGCTACAAAAATGCAAAATGGCTTTCATTAGTTATGCTGATTTATTTTTTTTTTATACATAGTTTCTGCATATCCCAATTAAGTTAAATATAGATGAAGAAATGTCCTGCTGGCAAGTCTGCATAACCTCATTATGATTTTTCCCCAGAAATTAGATTGCTTTAGTGTCCTAGTTCCAATGTAGGTCTGAAATAGAGACATTGCCAGTGCTGTTTCATAGTAACTATTTCATAAAGTGCTACCACGTTAATGCGGACCAAAAAAAGCAGGGTGTGAATCCATCAGTTGCTTGGGGTTGAATATTCATGTGTTGCAGGATGATCTGGGTGGGATTAGCCTTGATTTGGGTTTAAGAATTCCTAACCGCTTCCCTAAGCTCACTCACACGGCAGCTCCTGCTGCCATCGGGGCTCCGGAGGCGTTTGCTCCATTAATTGAAGTGCAGATGTTCAGGTCTAGAGGAAAGGTGACAGAATATCTCAGCAGAACAAGGACTAAATAATTTCTGGACTGTCTAAATACTGCTTATGAGCTTGCTCTGGCTGCAAACAAGCACAAGTCCAGGCTGGGCGGAGAATGGATGGAGAGCAGCCCTGAGGAGAAGCACTTGGGGGTGTTGGCTGATGAGAAGCTCACCATGAGCCGGCACCGTGCGCTGGCAGCCCAGAAAGCCAACCGTGTCCTGGGCTGCACCCAGAGCAGCGTGGGCAGCAGGGCGAGGGAGGGGATTCTGCCCCTCTGCTCTGCTCTCGGGAGACCCCCCTGCAGTGCTGCCTTCAGCTCTGGGGTCCCCAACATCACAAGGACGTGGAGCTGCTGGAGCGCGTCCAGAGTCCCAAACCGTTCTAGGTTTCTATGGAAAGATGAATGCTGGAGAGCCCCGTTTCTGCCTTCGAAGAGACTGGCCAATGTAAAGAAAAAACTTCTGGAAGTGACTGACCCAGTGAAGGGTAATGCAGGCGGTCGTGTGCAGGACGGTGTGTCTTGAAAAATAATAGAGAACTCTGTCTGAAATAAACTTTTTTTATCAAGACTCTTTTGCTTAAGTATAAAGATGGCTTTTTTAATAGCAATAATTCATTCAGCTGTGATCCCACACAAAGGATTGAGAGCTCCAAACCTTTCACCTCTGGAGTTCCATTAAGTGGTAGTTCTTCAGGGCCTTGATTTAAACCAACAAAAACTGCAGTTGCTGCTTGAAGTGTGGTCTGGCTTGAAGTCTGACCTTTTATTGTTAAAGGGGAAAAAAAAGAGTAGATTTAACTGAATTAGTTTCCATAATGCACCCGCATGCAATTACAGGAACAGCACTACCAGTGTGATCCCATTGTTGGTCAGGAATGTGGAATATGGCCTTGCACAGGCGCGAGCCTCTAGGTATGTGTCCGTGGCCGTACACTGCTGACGAAGAATTTCCTGTAGTTCAAGGAGTAGGAGCCTTTGTGTTTTTGGAACAAGAGGATCTGTGTTCTGCCATCACCATGTAAGTCGGTGACCCTGGGCTGCTGCACAGTGGCCACTTGGGTCAGCCCTTGGTTAACTGGCACACACAAATGCCCGTTGTGTTTTCCTGTGAGTGTGTCTGTGCCTCTTTACATACGTGGTTCTGTATCTTCAACTCTGTTTCTGTTTTTTTCCTGCTGTTGCTTGGTGGTCCATAGGACATGGAGCTGCTGGAGCGGGGCCAGAGGAGGCCAAGGAGATGATGGGAGGGCTGGAGCACCTCTGCTCTGGAGACAGGCTGGGAGAGTTGGGGCTGTTCAGCCTGGAGAAGAGAAGGCTCCAGGGAGACCTTCCAGTGCCTAAAGGGGCTACAGGAAAGCTGGAGAGGGGCTTTGGACAAGGGTGTGGTGACAGGACACGGGGAAATGGCTTTACACTGGAAGAGGGGAGATTTTTGATGGGATCTGAGGAAGAACTTCTTCCCTCTGAGGGTGGTGAGGCACTGGCACAGGTTGCCCAGAGAAGCTGTGGCTGCCCCATCCCTGGCAGTGTTCAAGGCCAGGCTGGATGGGGCTTTGAGCAACCTGGTGTAGTGGAGGGTGTCCCTGCCCATGGCAGAGGGGTTGGAACTGGATGGTCTGTGAGGTCCCTCCCAGCCCAAACCGTTCTGGGATTCTTGTCCAATATAGTGAGAATTGGTTGTAAAATGATGATTTAGCTGCTTCAAATCTTTTTTGTTGGGATGAATTTGTGGTTGGAACTCTAAACTTCACTTCCATGTACTTGTTCTCTACTAATTCTCAACCAGACACTTCTACATTGGCTTGTTGGACTCCTAAAATAGAGTAAATCTTTCATTAATGGAGAGTCTCTGCACAGATCGTGCATCTAATAGTGAGCATAACACAGGTCAGCACCAAATTGCTTTGTCCTTCCCAACACAGAGCAAAACTAAAGGAGGCTGAGCTGCCGTAGCAGGAGCTGTAAGCGTGCCAGTTTAGATACTGGTGGCCCTTTATGGTTTTGGTTTTTACGGTTTGTACCAGGCAATCTCTGCAAATGGCTGCAGTGTGTGAGTAGAGCCGTTGGTGTCTCTGCTGCTCTGACAGCACTAGTACTGCTCTGAACGTTTGAAATGTGCCTTTTGTCCATCAGGCGTGGTGGGGTTTGCTCCCTCAGACAGCTTTCTGTAGGTTCACATCGGTATTTGCTGGCTGGTGTTTCTAATAATAATGTCAAAAGGACGAAATGTGAAAAAATAAATAATTGTTTACGGCTGTATTTGTTGTGCCAGCCTGAAGCCTTTAGCTGCGAAACGGGTGAATCGTTCAGGTACGTTTTCTCTTCAGGGCTGGGAAGTTACATGGACTGCTGAGATACAAATCGGGGAGGAAAAGATTGATGGTGATTCTTTCTGCTCCAAGTTTCCAATTTATGGCTCTGTATGTAATGTGTATGTGTGTAATTTACTAGATTTTTGTCATGCAAGAATTATTCAACTTCACCATGCAGCACAAATCCCAGGGCCGGAGCGGGTTTGCTGGTATTAGCGAGGTTGGCTGAGGACACAAACGTGCTCCAGGACCCTATGAAAGGGCTCAGAAGCATCACTGAAGCACACACCAGAGATTATGCAAACCCTAATCTCCACAGGGGAGGCTGGGTGGAGTCCATCCCAAGGACTAAATTCGCTCACATCGCTTGTGATTGTGCTGCTGAGGATGTGTAATTAACTCAGATCTGGGGCAGGGCAGAAACCAGTGTGAGATGGTGTTTGTGCTGGCCAGCTACTGGCATTTGTTGTCTTTTTTTTTTTTTTTTTAAGGTTCTGATAGAACATCGTATGAAATGTAATGTTCATGTGGTAAAACCTGCTTTAGGTGGTGTAGCTGTTTATTTGTTTCTGTGCTGGTGTGGGGGTTTTGTGAACATCTGGGAATTACCGAGTGCTAAAGCGGATGTTTCTTACTGTGTTACGGCATAGGAGGTGTACAGTTGTCAACATCAAACTCTGAGTAAAAAGGTCTCTTATTAAAATGTTTGTTTCTTTTTTTTTTTTTTGTTTTTCTTCCCCACATCACCTTTCAGGTTGCAGAGGTGCTAAAGGATGGCTGACTTGGATCACAACCTCAGTCTTGCGGATGCTCTGACAGAGCCGACTCCCGAGATTGAGGAAGAAGTGAAAAGGGACTTCATTGCCACTCTGGAAGCAGAGAAATTCGATGATGTGGTTGGAGAAACAGTAGATAAAACAGACTATGTTCCTCTGCTGGATGATGACGACGCGAAAGCTGGGAGCCAGGAACCAAAAAGCAAACCCCATGCAGACGGTGTTCAGGTGGAACGTAAGTGTCTAAAGCACAAGACCAAAAAGCCGTGTCACTTAACGCCACAGAACACTTTCACTTACTGTGGTTTTGCCAGGCCTGCTGAAACAGGGCGTTTGTATGTTGCTGGGTTTAGTGTGAGCAATGTATTTTGAGAGCAAAGGTGGAGATCAAATTCTGTCTCTTGCTTCTCTGCTCTGCCTTCTGTTCAGTTCTTCAGCCTGTAAAATCAGCTGTCGTTACTAGGCCACAGAAGGGGCTCTGATTTATAGGAATATTTTGTGGGCTGCCTTGGGCTTCTCAGGGAAAGCACCGTGCAAAGCGTGGGACTGCCACACTTACCATACGTAGTGCTTTCCACCTCAAAACGTTAGAACTGCGCAAGGTTTGATAGCCACCACTCTGGGTAAGGGCTAAGGTGTAAGGATCGATGACGCTTTTCATAGAATCGTAGAGTCATTGGGGTTGGAAGAGACCTTAAGGATCGAGTCCAACCGTTAACTTGCAACTACCAAGTCCACCATGAAACCACGTCCCTCAGCACCACATCTACATCGCTTCAATCCCTCCAGGGATGGTGACTCCACCACTGCCCTGGGCAGCCTGTTCCAAGGCTCGAGGGGGTCTGCAGGTCAGCATCTTCACGAGGTCCACGCTGCGAGCTTCAGGCTCGAGTGTTTAACAGCTTTGTTTCTCCACTCATCCAAGGATGTGTTTATTTTGGTTCCTTGCTGCATATCCATCCTGGTTATGTGCATACATGGTAAGGTGAGGTGGTGTCTCTGCTTGTTGGGATCGCTTACTGATATTTATTAGTGTTAATAATTTTATCAGAAACTACATGGAAAAAGGAGAGGTTTAAACAAAGACTTGCTTCCCTAGCTGAGTAAAAAGGGAGACAGGGAGATTCGAGGATCATCCATTAGGTTTCTTTCTCAGTAAGCAATTTAAAGTCTGTGTACCTTTGCCTGTGTGGTGTCCCCCACCCAGCCAAGTGGGACTGTCACCTGTGACAAGTAGTCACAGTCTTGACTATTTTTTTATTTTTATTTTTTGGCCTTGATCTATGCTGTGAAAAGAAGAAAGTGTTTGCTCTTAGACACGTAACCTGGTGATTTTTTTCCAGAAGGCTTTTCTTTTTTTGCTTTAATCTTGATGCTCATCAGCATTGATGAAGGTGGGACGTGCAGAAGAACTATAATGATCACCCATCAGAATAAACAGGGCCTCCAGGACTACAAAGTGGAGAATTACCCAATGAGGATTTCTGGTCTGTTTAAGGCACTTATTTGCATTGTTTAGAAGTGTATTGAGTGCCTTGTAATATAGAAAATGTAATTTTGAGTTTTTTCATACTAACATAGTTCGTTAAATGGTAACAAACACGTAGGAAGGATGGAAATGGGCAAAGAGATTATAAAACTTTGAGATTTAGTCAACTCAGATGTGTGCTATTGTATTCAATTATAGTACCTCGAACGGTAGCTGGTTTATATTTTAGCATTGCAGAAGTGGGAGTAACAGAGAAACATGAAGACTTGTTCACACTTTTGCGTGTGGTTTGAGGATATTTTAAAATAATGCTTTGTTCTAGAAGTTACAGATGCTAAAACATCTTGGCACCAGAATTTCCCAGTTAGTGTTAGAATCACGATACGATATTACTTTAAAAGACAAATTCCTAAGTTGTGTCCTCCCGGGTGTGTATCCCTTGAACATCACCACCATCACTCGGCACTTCAAACAACTTCAGATTCTTGCAGCAGGTGCAACGAGGCCTTTTGGGTTTGCTCAGTAGTTACAACTCGTTGAAGCGTGCTGTGGAAAGCGGCGGGTTCCTGCGTGCCGAGCCGAGGCAGAGCTGTCGGGGTGCTCGTGCGGGCTGCCTGGGGGCCAGGCTCTTCTTCATCCGCAGCTCGTGGCTTTCCTCACCCCCTTCCCCTCCCCAGTGCCTCCCCCAGTGGTACAACCAGTTGTTTCTCTGCTCGAGCAGAACTTGCTTCCCTCCTACACAGCAAGGGGGAGATGCAGTTTCTTGTTCTCGGTTTGGAGCTTTGTTTTTCCCTTTTTTGGGATAGCGGGAGAACAGTTATGAGCCTTATCTAAATCTTTGGCAAGATGAAAACAAGACCCTAAGTGAAGAAATGGGAGAACTCGCTTGCCTTCAGCATATAAGATAATGCTGTTTTTCAGCTTCCCCACCTGCTACGAGGAGAGGAAGGGCTATTAAGCGCCGCAGTTTAAAACAGCGTCAGTTTACTACAGGCCAGTCTTAGGATTTGATCCTGTTATGTCCTAATTTGCCTAATCTGTTTTTTCCCTGAAGTGATAAGGATATCTATTTCTCCTGTGAGATTTCTTCAATGCTTAGCTGTTAAAAAAAAAAAAATTATAAAGCTTAATGTGTTTGCTTTAAAGGAAGGGAGCCTGGGTGAGATGTTACAAGGTCCTAACGGCGGTGTTGGATGTTGTGCTGGTGCAGTGCTTTGAGTGTAACATGAAGTTTTTCGGGAAGGGGGACTGCTATGTGGAAGGCAGCCAGAGTTCTGGCTCCAAATAGGACTGCAGATAGCTTTATTTTCCTGAGGGAGAAGAGTAGCTTTCATGGATCAGACTTTTCAGCCTCTGCTTGTTAATTTATTTATGTTAAAAGGCACGAATGTGTTCAGACAGCACAGCCTCTGCTACTGAGATGGCCTTTCCCCAGTCAGAAGAGGTTTAGTCATACGTCCCGTCAGGCTCTAGCTTTTCCATCTCTGCTCATCTCTGCTTCTTTCATTTTTTTCTTAAACCCAGGAGCCAGATTAGACAAGTTTAACAGAGAGATGGGCCGCCCTCATGGACCTGGTAAACCATGTGAGTACAGAGAGATGGAAAAGAGGAGGGAGATGTGATGGTCTCCTACAAATTCATCCTAGAATAAAGCTCTAGTAACAGTTAACTTTTAAAATATCATTGGAAAGAGATACCCTAAGAAGAAAGGGTTTTACTCTTTCTAGCACCGGGCTGGACATCATAATTTGGCGAATTCTGGGGTAATCTTATGACACTGTGCTTCACATAATGCCGCAGGGTCGCTGTGGGGGTGTGTTCCACTGTTTGCAGCCCGCTTTCCTTATCAGCTCCAAGGAGTTGAGAGGCTTTGGAGGCTGTAGCGGTGGTTCTCGTTAGGGTGCTCCCGTGAAGTGAGGGACACGCGACCTAAAGCGCGAAGGAGGAGGTTTTTTGGTGGGAGCAAGTCCCGACTGAAGGGACTGTGCTTCAATAGCTTGTGGCACACAGCAGCGCTCCTGCGGAATGTTTTAGTTTGAGTGAAGACCGAGATGGTTTCTGAAATGTTGGATTGTGTTGCTGCTGAGGAGCTGTGTCCAGAGCCGGGTCTCCAGCATGTTCACGGCCGCGTGCATGGACAAGGCCTGTTTTTCATCCCTGCACTCGCTCTGTTCACAAACTTGGTGATGACTCTTAACTTTGTGTGCAGTTTTTTAATAGGGAAACAGATCCTGTAAGCGGTGAAGTCCTTGGAATTTGCTCCAGGCAGCAGCTTCAGGGCTCTCTCCAAGCACATGTCACCACGAGATGGCTCCGCCGGCGCTGCGCAGTGCCGCTGGACAGACGCCGCTGCACAGCAGAGCGGGTCATCCTCCCCTGGTAGGGAAACAAAACAGCTCCAGAGCCTGAAACCCGAGGCCAAACCACAACATTTCCCTTTCCTTTTATCCCCTGTTCTGCACTAGGAGTAAGTGCTTTTCTTGCGGAAGGCAGCAGGCTTTGTTTATGCAAAAGAAAGTTTAAATGCTTTGTCACGTATGAAACTGAGGATGGAGAATGTTCCACGTGCCCCAGAGTTTCAGAGGGGCCAGCAAGCGATGTTAAGGTACTTGTGACTTTTATCTCATATGACATGTTAAACAGTCTCCCTCTGCAAGCCTGTCCATCCCCCTTCCAACCCCGAAGCTGGTGAAACCTCTAAGTGCAAATCCCTGCGCTTTTTTGTGCATAAACGAGCTTTGAGCGCGCTCCGAGCGCACTTGAACCTGCCCGTGTTCCCTTCCTCTGCCAGGCACTTGCTAACCAAACACTAAAAACTGCTCAGAGACCCCCGGCTGATGCCACAGGGGCGCTCCTAAGCTGTGTTCCATATGCTCTGCCCCAGGTTTCAGCTCTTTCCAGCATCTCGTGGCCCAACCACACAAGCTGCAGGGTCGTTTCAGCGTTCTACTTGTACCAGTGAGCATATTTCAGAGTGAGGATGGTTTTTTTTGTGGTTTTTGTTTAAAATGTATAGCAAAGCCACCCAGGTATTGGGTTGAGTTGCTTAACTATATAATACACCCTGATTTTCTTAAGGAGGGAGTGCCTGAAGTATTGTCTTGATAAGCTAAAGTGTTCTTGAAGCTTCTTCTATGTTTTATGAAATAAAGTGACAAAATTTATGTAGTTGTTACAGTTCAAAAGCAAAACAATTTTTTTTTTTTGTTCTAGCTCAGTCGCTTCACACTGATTTAGCTTCATTCAGGTAATATTTGTGCTCAATATTTGTGCTCAATTAGTGAACTTCACTTGGGGTTCTCTAACATCTAGTCATCTTGGATTCAATCCCATCGCAGGCAGCCAGTGATCAGCCAAGGTGATTGAAACTTGATTTCCTATTTCAGAAGGAGAGGTGTGAGGGTGGGATGGGGGGAGAAGGATGTTGGTGGGAGTGATTAGCATGGCATGTCTCCTTTTGCAGCTCTTGGACACCAGACCTGCCCGTGCAGCTGTGCTGCTGTTGGTGCCATCTGACAGTCTGTGTGTGCTTCTGAACGCCCTGACATCCCTGAAACACAAAACCCAGCAAGCCTTGGCTTCCATTTAGTTGGGAATTCTCTCTGTCTAACCAGGAGAATTAAAGAAGCTTGAGAATCCAAACCAAACTTTTATGTCATACTGGAATGCCAAAGGGCAAGCAAAGCTCTAAGCCTTTTTGTTGGTGATGCTGGGAGATGTTGAGCGTGATTGCTGCTGTTCAGAAG